AAAAACCTTATCAGATAATTTATTAACATTAAAATTGCATGGTCAGACATTGAAATCAATCGGTTTACCAGAATATGATGCTGCTATTATAGACAGCGAATCGAATCAACAAGATACATTACCATTATCAATTCAACATGATTTAATTGACAGCGCAAATCAAGAACAGCGTGATATTATAAGCACTATTATGAAATGCGTGAGCCTTGAAAATACAAATGTTCCTAATGCATATTTCATTGATGGACCTGGTGGTACAGAGAAAACATTCGTCTATAAATGCCTCATTAACAGTTGTATAGAAATGGGTTATGATGTAATCCCGGTTGCTTGTACTGGAATAGCAGCAATATTGTTACCCGGAGGTCGCACACTACATAGCCGATTTAAATTACCTTTGATATTGACAGATACTTCAGTTTCATCATTAAAGGTAAATAGCAAAGAAACATCAATTATTCGAAAATCAAAATTTATTATTTGGGACGAAGCTCCTATGGCAAGTGCGTGTGCGTTAATGGTTGTCAATCAATTATTAAAATATATGATGGAAAACAACGTTTTCTTTGGTGGGAAAGTTATTGTCTTAGGAGGAGATTTCAGACAAGTTTTACCAGTTGTCCCACATGGCTCTAGACAGCTTACAATACAAAACTGCATAAAAAATTTTCCGATTTTGCCACATTTTAAAATTCTCAAACTATTAAGAAATATGAGAGTAAAGCAAAATGAAATTGAATTTTCCAAGTTTTTGTAATAAATTGGAAATGGTGAATATCCACTAATAAATCCTGATTCGGACGAATATTATATTGAAATTAAACCATCGTTATTATCAAAAAATATAATAAAAGACGTATTTAGAAATATTATTTTTAATTTAGAAAATGTGTCTATTTTTTCACAATTTGCTTTTCTTGCACCTAAAAATGAACATTGTGATGAAATAAATAACTCAATTGTCAATATGTTGCCGGGGCCAGAAAAACGTATTTAAGTTTAAATACAGTGTCAAAAGACTGTGACGATTTTTTGTTTCCGACGGAATTTGTAGATAGTTTACATTTCAGTGGTTTATCAACGCACAGTTTTGGTCCATTCATCAATTTTATTAGCATGATCCTGGAGTTAAGATGAAGCTAGGATAGGATGTGAACTGGAAGAAAGAATAGCTGTGTCATCAGCGTATGTTGCTAGAAGAGTGTTACTAGATTGAGGGATGTCTGCTGTGAATACATTATATAGATCTGTGGATACATCACTACCCTGTCGTACGACAAACGAATGATTTTAAAGGTAAAATTTGATAGTAAGATAGTAGGGAGCTGGCATGAAAAGTTTTAATTTGTATAGTAAGTCATCGTGCCAGACTTTATCGAATGCTTGAGCAATATCTAAAAAAAGTCCGGAACAGTATTCTTTATTTTCTAGAGCAGTTGAGATTTCATCAGTAACACGATGAACTTGATGGATTGTTGAGTGCCTGTTTCGAAAACCAAACTGATTATTCGGTATGATATGGTTGTTTTGAAGGATGGGACGTAATATTTTCAGGAGGGCCTTTTCGAAAAGTTTTCCAAGGACTGGAAGTAAACTTATGGGATGGTATGACGAAGATAAGTGTTTAGGTTTATTTGGTGTGTGTACAAGTATAATGACTGCAAATTTCCAGATTTTAGGGAAGTGGGACAATCTTAGCATAGAATTATATGTGGGTGAGCAATGATAAAGTTTTGACATTTTTTAGAATTTTGTTTGTAATAAGGTTATTTCCAGGTACCTTGCTGGGAGGTAATTTTTTAATTATATACTGAATTTTACCAGGAGAGATGGGTTTTAGAGGTAGCGACATAGGTAGCGAAGCTGATAGAAATTTCAATAATAGTGTTGTTTTCGGGATCGGTGCACGAATGAGGATGAAATGTTTCAGCTAATTGAAAATATACAGATACAGAGAATATACAGAATATATTGACGCAGACCCGTGCGGCAGCCATTATCAAAACGTCTGTCGCCGACCGCGCCTATGTTTCTCTCATCAACCACCAGACCGCGGCACGCAACGCCGCCGCGACACCCCCCCCATACATCGATGGACAGGGGACGCGAACGGTCGCGACGACGCCCGCACGGAATACTACCCAACCGATCCGGTCGGGTTGTTTTTTGAACACCGTACACCTGAACGGTCCTATACGCAGTACATTGTATTTGCACTCATTGTCAATTTCATTCAAACGTTTTTTTTTCTTTTTGTTGTTTCTTATTTTGTTACATCTTGTTAACACTGACGCGTTCTGTGCCGTCGCACTATTATTGCACCATTACCGCATCACCGTTGTTTTTTTTTCCCCCATTCTGTGACCATCCACCTTCATTTCAACCTCGTGCCGAGCCGTACAGTGACGGACCTCGACAAATTGGCTCCCCGCAGAGGAATTCTTCCTGGTCAGTAACGTGACAAGGCAAGGTAAGATACTTTTTCGCTAGCTTGTTAATCCCGCTTTGCTTCATTTTCGTTACGTAAAAATAGGAAAATATCACGAGGTATAGCGAGGTAGGGAAAAACCCGGACGCTATATTAGTCTTTATTGCTGACACGCGCAAAGTCCCCAACAAGAAGCGTAGATATCGCAACACACGAGTGCGAAAAACCGGTCGTGACATAGGCAATAATATTAGGAAGTACGATTAAAATTTAACGTCTCCGAATACACCTCGACCCGCCGGCCCGCACGCGTGAATCGCGGCATAACGAACGTATTGTGGCGACCCCCACTACGCTTATCACGGCAATTCCCGCGCTCGTCGTGGCCCATCTCAACAGCGGTCGTTCGCCGACCGCCTCCAGTCATTTTTCCCCGCGTCAACGCTTACGTTTGTCAACGCGACAAAAAATATATTTTGTTGGTGCTATGTGAACAAACACATGTAACTATTTTCTCGTACAATAAACTTATTTCGTAAACATTTAATTCTCATCTCGTAGTTTCTTAAGGTAACCTTTTTCCCTGTTGTGGCCTACCGTCGTTGGTGGTTGGGGGAAAAAACACTACAACGCAGTAACCAAAGCCACAAATTGGTGACCTCGTGTTTTCCATTCGACTTTTCACATTTTTATAAAAGCACGATGCATTCCGGCGGTCCTACACGCGACCTTCTCACACTCGAGTTTGAGAAGCGACCACCGGCTAACGAGAACGCGAACCCGCCGCCCGATGGCGTATCCGTCGCGAGTTTCGCGCAAGTGCGTTTACCTAATTTTTGGCGGCACTCCCCACGTGAATGGTTTTTCCACGCCGAAGCCGTTTTGTGTTCCTATCGGAACACTCGCCTGCCCAAGTGGAACAGTCTCGGAGCACAGAGGCAACCGGCACGGATGCACTCGTAATGGCGGTTCACCCCACCGTGAAAAGTTCCAACGCCGCGGTTGAGAACCAGTTGTCCCGCTCAAATGAGACACCCACATCTTCGAACGCTAATCGAACATGCCCCGACAAAATTCCCACCCCAGCAGTGGAACTCGAGTTTACGTCAAGCTTCGTAACAGCGCTCTTAGATTCTCAGACACAATAATCATATGTAAGCCCAATCATTGCTCGTAAATTCGGAACCATCATAAATGGACTAACATCATTAGTTCGAATGGCGGACGGTCACACCACTTCAACCAGTGGGACTGCCGCTTTCGACACAAAAATCGGCGACCTCAATATCTCTTTCTCGGCCACCATTATGGATGATTTTTACTGCGACGTCCTACTGGGACATGACTTTCTCGTTGAAAACGAAGTCTCCTGGGATTACGCCGCATGTACCATTCACCTCGGCGCGCGGAGGAGAACCACTGCGTGCTGAAAAGGCCGCGCAAACAACCCTCTCACAGCTCCCGACCTATCAACCCTGGAAATCTCCGGCGACCCGGAATCCCGCGCGGAACTTCTTAAAATTATTGAAAAGTACGCGGATGTATTCAGTGATAGGACTAAGCTAATAGAACATGACATCATTTTAAAAAATAATACCCCCATCGCACTCAAACCGTACTCCTACCCGTCCGCTAAACAAGCCATCAATGATAATATGATTAGGGACATGGAATCACCAGGACTAGTGGAACCAAGTATTTCCCCATGGTCAGCCCCGGTCGTCTTAGCTAAGAAATAGGATGGATATCTCCGCCTTTGCATTGACTACAGACGGCTGAACGACGTAACTGAGTCTGACGCGTACCCGATGCCAGATTTAAACAAATTAATTAGGCAAATGAGGGGGACGAAAGTTTTTAGCGTACTGGACCTTAAGTCTGGACACTGTCAAGTACCGCTTAACCCGAACGCTAGAAAATATTCAGCATTTCCGATTTGCAGGGGGCTATACCAATTCAGAGTACTACCCTTCGGTCTCAAAAATAGTCCCATGACATTTGTACGGCTAATGAACGAAGTTCTATGTGGTTATCTGGACGAGTTCGCTCATCCCCTTGTGTCACGACCGACCCCCTAAACAGCAAACACCAACGGGACCAGTCTGTCTACCGAGCCGACCGCAGAAGTCCGGATCTCATGACAGACGGACCGCACAAAAGAACCTCCATATCTTACACGGGTGGATAGCTTACCATGCTGGAGCAATACCACGACTGGCGGTTTGGGGGGGGGAGTATGACGTGGACCCGTGTGACAGCCGTTATCGAAACGTCTGTCGCCGACCACGCCTATGTTTCTCTCATCAACCACCAGACCGCGGCACGCAACGCCGCCGCGACACCCCCCCCCCATACATCGATGGACAGGGGACGCGAACGGTCGCGACGACGCCCGCACGGAATACTACCCAACCGATCCGGTCGGGTTGTTTTTTGAACACCGTACACCTGAACGGTCCTATACGCAGTACATTGTATTTGCACTCATTGTCAATTTCATTCAATCGTTTTTTTTTCTTTTTGTTGTTTCTTATTTTGTTACATCTTGTTAACACTGACGCGTTCTGTGCCGTCGCACTTTTGTTGCACCGCCACCGATTAGTAATTTTTTTGTGTTTGTACACGCAATATAAGGCCACCGGCCATTACCGCCTCACCGTTGTTTTTTTTTTCCCATTCTGTGACCATCCACTTTCGTTTCAACCTCGTGTCGAGCCGTACAGTGACGGACCTCGACAATATATTGCAATTAAAAATGTAAATGTTGCGGTGTTTTTAAATCATATTATCTATACTTCATACGTACTGAAAAAAGTGAATTGAGGAATTACTTTTAAAGAAATTTGAACAACCATATGCAACACAAGAAACAGGCATATTTAATAAATATTAGTTACTTAATAGTGTATAATTAATATTGTGATTTATGGGGAATAGTGTTAATACAATATTTTGCCAACCCAAAACATGGCGGACAATTGATAACATAATCAATGCGTACTTCAAGTGATATCGGGAGTTCGTTATCTAATATAAAGTGGCGGACACACTGCCACATATTCCTTCACCACTCTCGACGCCGCCGGATTGGTCACACTGCCTTATCCCAACACGACCGTCCGAGGCGACGCGGCCGTTTACGCGCGCCGAGCTCCTCCTTCTCGTTCGACCGTTCGTCTGAACAACACGTACGCGATACTTGACCGCCCTTACGTCTCTACTCGCATTACACACGTGTTTTACCGACCTTCGACAATCGACTCACGCGAGTTCGACTTATTGTTATTATTCTACCTTGTCTTGTTTATTACATACACTTTGTTTTCATA